AACCTTTCAGATAATATGAGGAATCTTAAGAGGTTAAATGTCATATATGTCTTATATAGGGCCTCTTCTACTGAAACATCTAGAATGTTGGAGTACAAACTGGTCCCGACTGACTAGGTGTAGAAAGTTCTAGTATGGAATTTTCTAGAAAGATCTTGATCCTCCTAGTTCTGCTACTCGATACTAGATGGCGCAAGTGGTAACTTGTCACTTACCAGGAAACAGAACAAAACAGTAACACAGTAGCGATTATATATTCTTTAGATTATACAATAACTTGAATTACTACCAGAGTATATAATCATAAAGATTACTACGTGTAAGCATTGAAGTACTACGTACGTACTAGGATAAACATTGTGAACAAAATATATGAGTATACCAAATACCTTTTTACGGCACATACTAAGTAAGTTTGAGCCCGTGGGCTTTAACGCTTGTTGCAAATAACCAAGTCTGCGTGTGTCCTTTCTAGTACGTAGTATATATTAAATAATTGCTCGCAAGTACTGTCTTTTTTTATTAAATTGAAGTGAAAAAAACTTACACTTTACAGTCCACCTGATGGTAAGCGGCGATTTCAGCTCATGGACACCTGCAACCGATTTCAAATAAAGAGGCTACAAATGCGTTGTACGTCTAAGGACTAAAATTAAATGCCTCGCAGCCTGTAATGATACTAGCTCTCTAATACCCATCAGACCAGAACACACCTATGCATATTTAACCCAGACGGGTTTAGGCAGAAAAAATCCGCCTTTCTTACATTTTTTACTGTTTCGTTATACAACCTAAGAAAAACATACAGTCAGTCATCGCGTTTAATGTTGTCGGCAACACAGACATAAACAATAAATTGCTAGGGTTGTCAAAATGAGAAGTATTAAAAAATAAAAAAAATATTTTATTATATTATACGTTTAAACAAATTCCTGTGTATATGGAAACTGATGAGACTTTAATTCCTTATCTTTAAATTAGGACGATCCACAGTTTATTTACCACACATGTAGTGTGAACCATTTTAATTTACATGCGTGACAGGGCAACATTAGCGGACAGCTCCCGAGCGACTAATGGCCGCTCGGGAGCTGTCCGTAATGTTGTCCTCGCCCGCGTCTCTAGACCAGACGCCTTCGTTGACCGACTGTTAGTAGTAGTTAGACTGTGACATAGGTTTACTCCAAATATGCCTTTAGGCATTAAGGCTTGCATTACTTAAACACGGTAGTAATTAATTTATTTATTCATTACAACCTATCAAAAGTCAACTGCTGAACATATGCCTCGCCAAGGCTTGTCTCATGGGGGGAATGTTTGCCATAGTCATGACGCTGGGCAGGTGGGCTGGAACCTGAAGTTTCTTTATTATTTTTAGTTCTGACTACGCCGCATTGATGATCCGATATCTACATTTGTAGCGTCTGGAGTCTAATAGATCAACGAACTGTAAATCCAAGACATTCCTCGCTTCCGATTTCTGGCCCTCTGGGTTAGTTATCGCCGATATATGAAATTGATACCTGAAATAAAGATAATGTATTGTATTATACTCGTAAGAAAGTACTGTTGCCCATCTCCTGCCCATTTTCCTGCAATTCTCTCACGCCGCCACTACATACAATCAGATCCGTAACAATCGGTAGAGCAAACAAGTACTTTCGTGAGGGATGTGAACCCGCAGTCTGTAGTGCCGCAGACAAACACTTCCACTGCGCTTCCAAGACATATTAGAACCAGTTGGTTTGAATGGTCCGTTAGTCTCGCTAAAACTCGAAAATGGCTGGAACGATATTGATGATTTTTGAGTGTGTATTTGAATGGGTCCTTGGATGGTTTAAAATACTCAATTAGAATCGGCAGATGGCGCTGTTATCGAGATCCAAAAAATCACCCGTGCGAAACCGGGGCGGATCGCAAGTTCTAAATAGTAAAATTTAAAATGGAAAAAGTAGTAACGTTAAAATCATTTGTACACTACTTTCTCCTTACCGTCACAACCCACAGCTGAAGATAGGCCTCCCTTACAGATCATCATTCCCCTATATATAATTGCGTCACAGGGAGATATTTGACTTAGATGCCACGCCTTGTAAGTGGGTCGACAAAACCAGTATCTATAGGTAAAGTAACAGGCATTATACACTTACAGGCACAGGCATCACCTCATTTCTGAGAGGGTTTTAGGGCAAGGAAGTGCGCGCTGCCCCAATGCATGTTGCGGACTTCACATGTCACACAGGTTTCCTCACCATATTTTCCTTCACCGCCAAGCTCTTGGTAAATCAGCACCTAAAATTGCATTTAACAATTTTGGTGCCGGGCGGGATCGAACCCGGGCCACACGTGTACTGTGATATTTACAGCGAGCGTTAACCATCTGCACTACCTCTGCACTGCACTACCACGGCCAGTATAGGAAATTATTTTTAGATGTTATTAGGAAGACGCTGCTGCCCATCTCCTGGTTTGTTTCACTCTGTCACCCATTAAGACAGACGGGCAGTGATGACGGTCACGGGATGATAGGGGTACCTAGTGGATAGTAAATAAATAGGTAGTGATATGAGTAGTAGTGGTTCTTACACTGCCACTGCGTGGTCACTTTCATCTTATGTAATATATTATTATCTTATTACCATCTATCTTCTTGTTATCTTTGTAGGTGGTAGAGTCACGCTGCAGCTATATTATAGTTGTAGATTGTAGTACGAATGGGTCGGCTCGGCCGGGGCAGGACCAGAATACAAGCGTAAAATAGCAGCGTAATGCTGCTGTATTTCGTGAAACCCTTTTTACTGGAATCGAGGCATTCTATCTAAGTCCTCAGTGTTGACAACGCATTTGCATTTTAATTCTTGATTGAGGATACATGTGGATGTCTATGGGCATCCACTTACCATCAGGTAGACTGTGTGCTCGTTTGTCACCCAATGCATAATAAACATTGTCATTAGTAAAAATAGTCAACATTGTCCAGGATGAATCTATTATTGATGCAGCACGATCGGGTCGGGCCTACAGAGAAATAACCACGCTCTCACAGAATACCGACGTAAAATTGCAGCAAAATGCTGCTGCATTTCGTACAGTGACTGACAAGAACAGGAAATTCTTTTTTTACGGAAACGAGACATTCGACCATAGTCCTCAATGGCACATGTAGATGCACCTTCTCGAAAATTAATACTTAAAAAATACTTAATTTATACGTGGTAGAGTCAAACTAGTAGCTATAATATGGTTTAAGCACGAGTGTCTCAACTCGACTATGGAAGGAACCTGCTCTCACAGAATACCAGCGTAAAATAGTAGGTTAATGCTACCGTGTTTCGTTTGATGAGTGTATAGAGGACCTGCGTATTTTTTCACTGGAATCGAGACATTCCATCTTAGACCGCAGGGGTGACAACGCATCTGCATTTTGATTCTTAAGTAAGGATAGATGTATAGGTCTATGGGCCACGGTATCCACTTACCATTAAGTGGACTGTGTACTCGTTTGTCACCCTTATTCTATAAAAAGAACCATCAGGTGCATCTCCGAGAACTAAAATAGAATGTCTCACAACCGATATTTGTATTTTCCCTCGAAACCCTTCAGACAGAATCACTAGAGTACAGACACTGCTGTTCATTGGCAGAAATTGATAAGAGAGTGACTCAGAAGATCTACTGATCAGAAAAGTAGCTTCAAGACCTATTTAATACATACATACATATACACTCACACCTGCCATCCAAAGCGGTAGGCAGAGACTACAGACTTCCATTTAGCATGATCCTGACATACCTCTATCGCTTCCTCCACATCCATATACCTACGCATATATGCTGGTCGGTTAAGGGTACTCTAAATTTGACCCATTTTCAATATATCGCCACTTTGGTCGACAAACTTTAGCCTAGTGCGTCCCTTTCCGACTCTTCCATTCACTTCTGCAACATATACTGTGCCGAACGGGCGAAACTCTCCGGAGTAAATGTTGTTGAAGATACTTCGCGAGTCGCTCACGTCCTACACCTATAGGTTCCGGTGGGTACTTTCACCGCCGTCTTTGTGGGTGCCGCTGAGATATTGTGGACTGAGGTTCAAATCAAAATGCACGATTTATAAATACAAATAGCAAGGTAGTGGCCAGCGGTTCGACTGATTGATTAGTTGCGAAATTTTATAACTATTTTTATTGACCACGGTTGTTGAACTACGGTTGTTAACTATTGGTTGGTCACTGTATATATCAAAAGATTTCTTTAAAATTGTACGGTAAAATCAAATATCTATTGGTAGTAGCTGGTTTTCTAACACTACTGACTAGCAGCTATTATCAACTAAACTGGCTGATTTTATCACTTGTGTAACTGCGGATATCAGTTACCACTTTCACTATATGTAACTGCGAATGTCAGTTACGACCTTTTTCGGCTAGCTAACACTTTCACTATTCACTATATACTGCTACTAGTCACTTCAGCTACCACCGGATACCACTCACTTCACTTCACTTGTCACTGGTAGTTCTTCACACTACTACTGGTACTGGCAGCGTGACCAGATTTCATTTGACGAATCTACTGCTTGTGGTGGTTAAAATCTACTGAATTCTACCAAAAGAGAACGAGAAAATATTAAAAATTTATTTATTTTTTTGTTGTTGTGTTACAACGTAAAACATTAATGTTTTCTTGATTAAACGATAAAATAATAAAATAACAAAGAAACCACCATTCATTAAAGAAACCACCATTAATTAAAGAAACTAATGTTTTTTTTATAATTTAAATTCTAAATAAAAATATAATTAAAAAAAAGAATAAAATGAAACTTAAAGTTAAGATTCTTCATATTTATGTTGGGTAACATTGTCATAAAGCTGTTTTGAGTCCATTAACTTGATCATACTTCTGTCAGGATCAAATCTGCTACATCCTCCTTCCAACTGTCGTAGCCCCTATTTTCCATGCATTATTGCTGCAACATTCTTATTATTAAATCGATTTCAATCTTGATTTTTAATCCTATTAATATCGGAAAATATTCTTTCTACTTTGGCGTTTGACAAAGGTGGTATCATCATTTGCTTCACAAATCGGGACAAATTGCTATACTTTGGTTTGCTATTAGCATTACAGATTTGGCTGACTTCACTCCAAAATTTATCCACCATAAAAGTTTCAGACGTCGAACTAGAAGTTGACAATACATTAGACACGGAAACATCTAATTTTAATTCCATATATTCATTGTTAACAATTTGCTTGTTTTCTGTTGCAACTATGTTAGGAAACCTTTTGAGTATTCTTATCAGAGTTCGAAATTCACCATACACTGCATTTTGGGGATTGACGAACGACAAATCCTTCAAAAAATTATCTTGTACAGGCAGTCTTTGCAGAAATTGGTTACTCAGCTCGATCAAAAATGACTGACATCTGTTAAGGAATTCCTCAATTTTAGATCTCATCCGAACATCATGTTTTAATGATTCCAATGTCATTGCTACGTTTGTGCCCAGGTACAAGTTTTGTATAGGAAAGAAATGAATTCTTAAATTTGGATCTAATTGGCTGATGTGGAGTAGTTTTTATATAATTTATCTTCATAAAACAACTCAAAATTGAACTCATCATATTTTGTATGTCTGTTTCAATTTTATGAAAGTGTATGATCACTTTAAAAAATAACGTTAAATTTTGTAGATATTGGTAATATAAAATCTAAAAAGTAAAGATAAAGTTTTGTCTCGTCGCTGTTAAGGTGATCAAATATAAATTGACAAGTAGTATTGGCATTCTTATTCCCTAAAAACTCATTTTGAAAAAAGTTTTAACGCTGACCACTGCTCTATAATTCGGTGAATGCATTGATGTAGAGAACATAAACACCTGATATCATAATGACGAAGCATATGGTGAGTTGGAGTGTCAGTAAAATTTTGAAATTCGACAAAGTCTCTCTGTCGTTGGCTACTGTGAGAGAAGTATGAAAAAACATCTTTGACAAATAACTCTATAGAACGAGTTAATTTTTTGCATGCATAACTCACTAAAAAGTTTGTTGAGTGGCAAATACATTTGAAAAAAAAATGCAGTTTGGGTTGACTTCCCTAATTTTAGATACCACGCTACTCCTTTCGCCGAACATTACATTCGTGGTATCAGCAGCGAACCCTATTAAATTGGCTATAATAAGGTTTTTTTTTTCAGATAAAGCACATGTTAAACTATCAAAAAAATCCTGCGCAGTATCACCTTTTAAGCCCACCATACACAAAAATTTTGTTTTGTGGAGATTGCAATTTTTCGGAGTAGTACTTTACTGCTGCTGCAAGTACCTTGGTAGTACTGACATCTGTGCTCTCGTCGATAATGAGCGAAAATACTGGGCTTCTCTCAGTTTCATTTTCTGGTCTTGGACTTAATTATGCAAGCATTTTTTCCTCGAAGTTATTGCCTAAGACGTTGTAGGCAATTGCGGCAGATTTAGTTCTTCTACAGGAAAAACGTTTTGCGATTTCGGAGTCGTGAAATGCCCTTGAAATAACTTCGCTTACATGATCCATTACGCGAAAAGGAATATTATGTTCAACTAAGGCTATAATGCTGATTTCTTTTTTACTTCTTCCGAAATGGTTGATGTTTTGAAAATCGTATCAATCTGTAAAAAAAGAAGTTAAAAATAATTATGCAGGACATTTCATACGACTAATGAAATTGTGTTGTCTAGTCTATCATTATAGAAGCAACTTTAAAAAAAAATAGCTGCCAACTGTAAAATTAAAACTTTTTGGACTAGCATCCAGCTTGGTTTTAAGCCTAATATTTTTTGTCAGCGAATTAATACCAAAACCTACCGATGTATTTCTCATTTCTACTAAGACATTTTATCCTACTAGATTATCGTCTTATTTGCTTCAAATCTACCAAAAAAGTAGAAATCTACTAAAAATGGTCACGCTGGGTACTGGGTCCCGAGCCCCTAAGGTAGACTTTGGCTATACTTTACAGCGAGCCGCTTGCCATTTTTACTTTTTTGCGCTTCTTTCTCATCAATTGGTATATATCATATTATTTTTGGTACATTTCTTTTCCTACGATCGTATTTACAACTCTTTTAGAACATAAAATTATTTTCATTATTTTTAGTATGAACTATTACGCAGTTAATTAAAAACTTCTAGAGAGTTCTATGATAAGACGCGCTGTGATTGGTCGATTTTTCTTAATATAATAAAAGTTGTTTATATCACTTGTTATCAAAACGACATTCTATACAAATATACTAAGAGTTATAAACATGCTACGCAACTATACCAATACAGGTTTTCACCCAGTTTTATCGGTAATTTTACTATTAATACAAAAAACAATATTCTTTATCACTTCGTTTATTAGCGTTGTTAGGCCGTCGCGAACATATACGTTTGCTTTGTCAGTCTTTACTCATTCATTCTTTCTACATGACCAAAGCCAAACCACCGAAGCATTCCTTTCTTAATCCTGGTCACAGCATCATCTTGGAAACCACACTCTTCTTTTATCACACAGGTTCTCAGCCTGTCACTCAGATTCAGCCCTAACACACTCGTTAGCGACCGCATTTCTACTGCATTTATTCTACTCTCGTACTTCTTCTAGCATCACCCAACTTTCACTATTATACATTTAAGTAGGGACTAATACAGCATAGTGAATTGCAATACGTGATTTTTTTGACACATTCTGACTTTTAACAATAAAGTGTATTTTAGCCCTACTTGCTTTGACCAGCAGCTGACTTTCTAACATCTATCCACTATCGTGGCAATTAAGTTTTAGAATGACTGGCATGAACGCAGGAAATATTTTATACCCATATCACTACCTATTTATTTACTATCCACTAGGTACCCCTATCATCCCGTGACCGTCATCACTGCCCGTCTGTCTTAATGGGTGACAGAGTGAAACAAACCAGGAGATGGGCAGCAGCGTCTTCCTAATAACATCTAAAAATAATTTCCTATACTGGCCGTGGTAGTGCAGTGCAGAGGTAGTGCAGATGGTTAACGCTCGCTGTAAATATCACAGTACACGAGCGGTCGTAAGTGCTGATTTACCAAGAGCTTGGCGGTGAAGGAAAATATGGTGAGGAAAGCTGTATATCTTAGGAATAAGAAAAAATAGGACATGTGAAGTTCGCCAACACGCATTGGGGCAGCGCATCGGACACTTCCTTGCCCTAAAACCCTCTCAGAAATGAGGTGATGCCTGTGCCTGTAAGTGTATAATGCCTGTTACTTTACCTATAGATACTGGTTTTGTCGACCCACTTACAAGGCGTCGCATCTAAGTCAAATATCCCCCTGTGACGCAATTATATATAGGGGAATGATGATCTATAGGGGAGGCCTATCTTCAGCTGTGGGTTGTGACGGTAAGGAGAAAGTAGTGTACAAATGATTTTAAGGTTACTACTTATTTCATTTTAAATTTTACTATTTAGAACTTGCGATCCGCCCGGGCGGCTTCACACGGGTGATTTCTGAACTTCGACAACAGCGCCATCTGCCGATACTAATTGAGTATTTTAAGCCATCCAAGGACCCATTGAAATACACACACAAAAATCATCAATATCGTTCGAGCCGTTTTCGAGTTTTAGCGAGACTAACGGACCATTCAAACCAACTGGTTCTAATATGTCTTGGAAGCGCAGTGGAAGTGTGTGGTCCGTTTTTGCTCTATGTTTTGTGTTTGTGTAGAGGGGGGTGGAAGGGCTTTTTTTTAAATACTTTTTGTTTTCATTAAGGGCGTAGTCAGAACTAAAAATAATAAAGAAACTTCAGGTTCCAGCCCACCTGCCCAGCGTCATGACTGTGGCAAACACTCCCCCCATGAGACAAGCCTTGGTGAGGCATATGTTCAGCAGTTGACTTTTGATAGGTTGTAATGAATAAATAAGTTGGTAGAATTAAATTGGTGTTTAAGTAATGCAAGCCTTAATGCCTAATGGCATATTTGGAGTAAACCTATGTCACAGTCTAACTATTACTAACAGTCGGTCAACGAAAGCGTCTGGTCTAGAGACGCGGGCGGAGTGCGACCTGCGAGCGACTAACGGCCGCTCGGGAGCCGTCCGCTAATGTTGCCCTGTCACGCATGTAAATTAAAATGGTTCACACTACATGTGTGGTAAAAAAAACTGTGGGTTGTCCTAATTTAAAGATAAGGAATTAAAGTCTCATCAGTTTCCATATACACAGGAATTTGTTTAAACGTATAATATAATAAAATATTTTTTTTTATTTTTTTATTACTTCTCATTTTGACAACCCTAGCAATTTATTGTTTATGTCTGTGTTGCCAACAACATTATACGCGATGACTGACTGTATGTTTTTCTTAGGTTGTATAACGAAATTGTAAAAAATGTAAGAAAGGCGGATTTTTTCTGCCTAAACCCGTCTGGGTAGGTACTGTTGCCGCCAAATATGCATAGATGAGTTCTGGTCTGACGGGCATTAGAGAGCTAGTATCATTACAGGCTGCGAGGCATTTCATTTTAGTCCTTAGACGTACAACGCATTTGTAGCCTCTTTATTTGAAATCGGTTGCAGGTGTCCATGAGCTGAAATCGCCACTTACCATCAGGTGGACTGTAAACTGTAAGTTTTGTCACTTCAATTTAATAAAAAAGAAAGTAGGTACTTGCGTGCAATTAATTAATATATACTACGTACTAGAAAGGACACACGCAGACTTGGTTATTTGCAATAAGCGTTAAAGCCCACGGGCTCAAACTTACTTAGTATGTGCCGTAAAAAGGTACTTACTCTATGCTTTCCTCCACGCGCCCTGCACTGCCTCACATATTTTGTTCACAATGTTTATCCTATTACGTACGTAGTACTTCAATGCTTACACGTAGTAATCTTTGTATATGGTATACTTTGGTAGTAATTCAAGTTATTGTATAATCTAAAGAGTATATAATCGTACTGTGTTACTGTTTCTTTTTTGTTCTGTTTCCTGGTATGTGACATGTTCCCACTTGCGGCATCTAGTATAGTAGCAGAACTAGGAGGATCAAGATCTTTCTAGAAAATTCCATACTAGAACTTTCTACACTTAGTCACTCGGGACCAGTTTGTACTCCAACATTCTAGATGTTTCAGTAGAAGAGGCCCTATATAAGACATATATGACATTTAACCTCCTAAGATTCCTCATATTTCTGAACGGTTGCGCCGTGATCGATATGTATTACATTATCACCATGCCATGATAAGATAATTTTAATATTTCATTAACATCGCGTTATCACTTATCACTTTATATTTAAATAAATTATATACAAATCACTACGTTTAAGAAAGCAATCTACATATTATCCGTCTCGGCTTCGCACGGTTGGTTTCTGGATATCGACAACAGCGCCATCTACATATTCTAATTGTGAATTTAAATCATTCTCGAATCAACT